AGGACTTGGAAGACTACCTTAATGGAGCTGAACATGGGGTTATCTACTTCAGCATGGGTTCCATGATCCGAGCAGAGACCCTTCCTGAGGATAAGAGGGACGCATTTCTGCAGGCGTTTTCAGAGCTACCACAGCGAGTCCTCTGGAAGTGGGAGGGAGACACGCTTCCAGGACAACCCAAGAACGTCAAGAGAAGTGGGAGGGAGACACGCTTCCAGGAAAACCCAAGAACGTCAAGTTCGCAAAATGGCTGCCACAGTTTGACATTCTGAGTAAGCTACTTCTTTATAGTACTCAACATTTTCTATGTATTGTACAAAGTGTGCATTTATCCATACAAGGATGATGGGTATTGAATATTATATTAAGAGTAGATTATTATTATTATTAATATTGGCAGTGGTTGTGGTAATAGTTAGTAGTTAATAGTAGTAGTAACAGTGAAATGGCAGCACTGTCACATTTGCAGATAGCATTGTATGAAAATGTATATATAATGTGAACCATGTATTTTGATTTTAAGTTATACAGTATAAAAATACATTTCTACAATAAAAAGGTGACCCCCAGCACAATCATAAAAATAAAAAAATCTATATAATTAAACAAAATTTTATTATCGTGAATAATTTTTATCACTAACTGAAAATGTTCATTATAAAATAAATTTAAAACAATGTCAGAGTGGCCAAATAATTAAAAAAGATTTAAATCCAAAGGTATCATTGAATAGGCTACATTTTCAAAATATATTTACTGTACGTTGCGGTGGAAAATAATAAGCTAAACCATGGTACTGAATAGGATACTTAGGCGATCTGTTCTTCAGTGTCTTGTGCATCTGCGGGTCCGAACAGAAATACGCGGACGAACATCCATGGTTTGAGTGGGATTCGAACCCACGGTCCCAGTGACCAAGCGGCACAAGGCCCACGCCTCAGACCGCGTGGCCACTATGACGGCAGTACTGAATAGAACTAAATAAATACTAGTATTAGTAAAGAAGTGAAAATATGTTGGGTTAATGAACAACAGCATTGCAGACAATCTAGAAATGTTTTCTTGTACCGTTACAGATCACCCCAAAGTACGTGTTTTCTTGGGACATGGCGGTCTGCTTGGTACAATAGAAGCTGTCCATGTGGGCGTTGCCATGATAGGCATCCCAATGTACGGGGACCAGGGTACCAACATGAAGATGGTGGAGGCAGCAGGCATGGCTGTTATCCTGCAGTATAAGGATATAACCAAGGACAGTGTCCTACAGGCACTCAGGACCATACTGGACAATTCCAGGTAGAACAGAACGTGATTCATAGTTAGTTAGTATTCGGTTATTTTACAATATTGTATCCAGGATAACCTAAAAATTAAATCTCGGACAAACTCATGACAACTGAACATTTAAAAATGTTTGCACAGCCAACTACTGAAATGGTGTCTTAAATTAAATATACATCAGACAGCACACATTTCCAATATAAATATTGTGTCATATTGCATCAACTGTTGAGGTCACATAGTACCAACTGAGAAATGATAGGATGACAGGGAATGTTTAAAAACTGATCTTAAAGACAGCACTTGCAGCCTTTATATAAGCACTTGAGAGTTTGTATATGAGGCACTGTACTGTGTTCAAAAAAGCAGGCCTACTCAATAATTAATACCTTTGGATTTGAATTTCTTAAATTAATTGGCAACTCTTGACATTATTTTAAATATTTTAGATTTTTAGTTAGTGATATTTAAAATATTTTTGTTTCTTTCACACAGCTATACGGAGAATGCAAAACGAACTTCAAGAGTATTCCGTGACAGGCCGATGTCACCCATGGACACGGCTATCTACTGGACAGAGTACGTCATTAGACACCATGGAGCACCGCATATGAGAACGGCTGGAGCTGATCTACCACTGTACCAATACTTGCTCCTGGATGTCATTGCTGTGCTTCTAATAATATTTTTGGCAACTGTCTGTGTAATTTACTACATAATCAAGAAACTTCTCTCACTTTTCCATGGTAGAGCTAAAGCAATCTCAAAAGACAAGAAACTACATTAGCAGTAACTTCTAGTTTTCAGAATAATTGAATTGTTCATTTACAAAAACACACGAGTCCACTTTTGAGTTATTGGTACTACAGCTATCACCAAGGGCAAAGGGCAAATGCACTGTTTCAACACAAATCACATTCGCTCCAAGTCTTTACTGTGCCTTAACTATCTTCTGTTTCCCATCAAAACAACATGTCCTTTACTAATGGGCACCCTTATTTATTGTCTGTTTCCGAAGGAAAACATAAGTCTTGGACTCATTATTTTACTGTTAGGTTTAGGTTCTGACCATAAGAAACCACTGAAACGCACACTAACTTAAATTAGTCATCCCAACAGCGAAAAAGACACATAACCTCACAGTCATGCAATGTTCCTTAAATATGTGGATATTTTTAAACAACTCAAGTGCAAAAATAAATTTAGCTCATATATTTGGGTGTAAACAATGTTTGTGACATATAACAGGAAAAAATTGGAAACTTATAATTATTTTTTGTAAAAATAAATAAAATTTTAACTATACAGCATGTGTGTGTGCTAACATTTTTGTTTTGTTGTTTGTTTTCTCAGGAGTCAGTTTTGTAGACTTGTGGTTTTTCAAATAACTGATTCAAATGTGATGTATAAGTTTATATATTTGTTGTGATCTTCCTTTTCTGGTGGTATAAATAAGCAATTCATACTGACATGTTTCAATGGCAATTTGACATGGATTACTTTGCACATTACGTATGTGATGATTAAGAGACATAAAGCAACTTCACTTCTAAAGGAAGTCTACAGTGATGTAATTGTTGTCTTAGGAGGAAAGACCATGGTCAGTTATTTTGGAAATAAACTATGAATAATTACAGTACTATTAAACCCTTTACCTTTCACTGAACTTGATGATGGTACAGACTCCACTTCAGCAAGATTGAGATTTTTCGTTTTCTGTTCTTTTTCTTGAAACAGCTTCATACCGATCAACACTGGCAACTAACGGTCGGTCATTTTGGTACTACTGTAGCATCTGATAGAAGTACGTCATAGTTCATGTTAATGGCACAAGATGACAGCACAATGTAAGAAATTTATTCAGACATCTTTCCAAAAAACGAAATACGTTTGCGTTGCAGTTTATGGTAATGCAAGCCCTATGGGGAATTTTGTGGGCTGTGGACTGTCCCATATACTTTTTAATATATACAATTACCAAGTGATAAAACTGTGGAAACAAACTAAACCAAATGGAACTGTAATAAATCAAAAACGAAAACATGGGAACACTACTTTTAGCAGATGACCAGAATTTAAAATCAAACACATAGGACGACTTGCAAAGGTCCTCAAAGATTTTAACATAAAAATATCGAATAAAACAAAAGATATGGCTGTCGAAGGTAAAAATATTAGAAGTGTGAAAATTGTGATAAAAAAGACAGGACGAAATGGAGATCACATTGACAAGTTATAATAAAATAAGTGTAATAATAAAGAGGAATTTCGGAAGACATATGAGAAAAGACATCTTACTGAGATTACTCACAAGCTAGTAACGTTAGCAAAGAACAACTTTGTGATGACAATTGGAAGCGCTAGAGATACAAACGTGGGTATATGTGTAACAAGGAGGATAGTTACATATGTGATTGAAAGTGTTATATTTCATTAGCACATAACACGCTATTAATACTCACGATTTTATCCGCTGTTCCATTAGACTTCTGAATATAACTAAATTATTTCTGTTTCAGATTTATTTATTGCACCTACATTTAGCAAAAACGGCATACTAAGAACTGATGTTTTTATGATTGCTTGTATCACCATCTTGAAATTCGACCGGCATCAATGACAGCTATCGTCAAACTAATTCAAACACCCTGCAGTGTTATGGTTGGAATCGACAACGTTTACAGCGCAGCCAACCAAGGACTGGATTTTGGGCCCATTAACGGCCAGGCCAATTAAAATTGTGTCTCAACCCGTCGCGACAACAACGTTCTTGAGAAGTCTCAAGCAGTGATGTTACTATCCCAAGATTAGATATGAGATAATCCTTATAGAGGACAATAAACTAATGCAGAGATAAAATTCACTTAACAGATTGTAAAAGTGTACAAGATCTGGTTTCAAACGAACAGAATTCGGCTTGAGATACGTTTCTTTACGATTATGGCAAGGAATTTCCAACGAGATTCTTTCTCTTCGCTGCTAATATTATATAATGATACTGATTTTGACTTTTTTTAACCGTTTGAAGCTTGAAGAACCTCTAAATAATATTTAAAACAGCAGCCTGTACCTCAAAGAAAACAGAACATGTTTTCATGTCAAAGATCAGACGCTTAAAGGATTTTAAGGGAAGAATCTCTGTCTATTCTGAGTATTATACGAAACCCACGAACAAACAGCAGAGTTACTGTTTATTAAAGCAGTTATCATTGGACGTTTTTCAAATCTTATTGTTCATAATAATCATGTGATTATTTATCTAAAGCTGACAGCAGGATTACATAAGCTCAAAGAACAAAGCAGATAGTAACATACATCCTTGACGTATTTGTAAGTTATGCTAATAATCGCTATTGTACATTTTTCATGCAATTTGTAGGCGATTTAAGATTTGGGGCTCAAACATGCTCTGAGTTCTCTTGCCGTAACATTTTTGAAAGTTGGAGTTCTTATGTCAGAATTGACACAGCGCCTGCCTTGAATTTTGATTTCTGATTTTTTCCAGTAAATGTTTTTTTAATAACGAGTATGCGCTCTGAAATGACTTCGCCGCTTGTGTAATTATATTCGACTGAAACCTAATAATTCATACGACATATTAACGCAGTTCTTCCAGTTTTAAAGAGATTACTTTGAACTCAATAAGAAAAAGTATGATACAGAAGCAATTATATAGGTGTTTTAGTTTTACTCTGAGTAATACTTGGTCTAAATTGGCAACATTGGTAATCAATACTTTCTAATCTTATCTGAAATTAATATAAAACTTCAAGTCATCCTCGAAAAACAAAGGCGTCAATCTGCCATTGAGTAGGCCAGTACTTTGTCAACTTTTCTCATGAAAACATTTAATTATAGTAGATTCTCCACATTTATTTATTGCACCTACATTTAGCAAAAACGGCATACTAAGAACTGATGTTTTTATGATTGCTTGTATCACCATCTTGAAATTCGACCGGCATCAATGACAGCTATCGTCAAACTAATTCAAACACCCTGCAGTGTTATGGTTGGAATCGACAACGTTTACAGCGCAGCCAACCAAGGACTGGATTTTGGGCCCATTAACGGCCAGGCCAATTAAAATTGTGTCTCAACCCGTCGCGACAACAACGTTCTTGAGAAGTCTCAAGCAGTGATGTTACTATCCCAAGATTAGATATGAGATAATCCTTATAGAGGACAATAAACTAATGCAGAGATAAAATTCACTTAACAGATTGTAAAAGTGTACAAGATCTGGTTTCAAACGAACAGAATTCGGCTTGAGATACGTTTCTTTACGATTATGGCAAGGAATTTCCAACGAGATTCTTTCTCTTCGCTGCTAATATTATATAATGATACTGATTTTGACTTTTTTTTAACCGTTTGAAGCTTGAAGAACCTCTAAATAATATTTAAAACAGCAGCCTGTACCTCAAAGAAAACAGAACATGTTTTCATGTCAAAGATCAGACGCTTAAAGGATTTTAAGGGAAGAATCTCTGTCTATTCTGAGTATTATACGAAACCCACGAACAAACAGCAGAGTTACTGTTTATTAAAGCAGTTATCATTGGACGTTTTTCAAATCTTATTGTTCATAATAATCATGTGATTATTTATCTAAAGCTGACAGCAGGATTACATAAGCTCAAAGAACAAAGCAGATAGTAACATACATCCTTGACGTATTTGTAAGTTATGCTAATAATCGCTATTGTACATTTTTCATGCAATTTGTAGGCGATTTAAGATTTGGGGCTCAAACATGCTCTGAGTTCTCTTGCCGTAACATTTTTGAAAGTTGGAGTTCTTATGTCAGAATTGACACAGCGCCTGCCTTGAATTTTGATTTCTGATTTTTTCCAGTAAATGTTTTTTTAATAACGAGTATGCGCTCTGAAATGACTTCGCCGCTTGTGTAATTATATTCGACTGAAACCTAATAATTCATACGACATATTAACGCAGTTCTTCCAGTTTTAAAGAGATTACTTTGAACTCAATAAGAAAAAGTATGATACAGAAGCAATTATATAGGTGTTTTAGTTTTACTCTGAGTAATACTTGGTCTAAATTGGCAACATTGGTAATCAATACTTTCTAATCTTATCTGAAATTAATATAAAACTTCAAGTCATCCTCGAAAAACAAAGGCGTCAATCTGCCATTGAGTAGGCCAGTACTTTGTCAACTTTTCTCATGAAAACATTTAATTATAGTAGATTCTCCACAGAAGGTATTTGCAGCTCTTTCTAAAAATTACAAGATGACGAATGGGACCAACAATTTGTCCTGGTATCAAAAGCCAGTCAAGGCAGAGACATACAGAGTCAATGAATTTTGCTGCTGTCTCGGAAGTCTGAAGAGTGGAGCTTTAATCATCGGCGTGATATTCACGGTAATGTATAAGTTTAGTGTCCAAAAATTTCACAATAGAAGCAAAAAGTAAATGTAAGCCTTTCCTGCTAGTGAATCAACCGAAACAATGAAGCAGATTTTATTAGGTCTGCCACATTCCAGCCTAAGTGATTCGTACTAATCTACTGTTTTACGTTTTATATTTACTAGACGATGGATAATATCCAAGGAAATTTTTATTCAATTGACTCTTCACCATCGTCAAGAAGTTTTAGATTTGTTACTATACAGGTTTTCCACTTAAAAACGCAATCCTGAACGTCTTTATTACAATCGTACAAGATTCAACTTTCACTGCTGTCATAAGGGGTTTATTATAACTTACGAAACAAATACAGTACTTTCTCTGATATGGAAGTACTTATAGGCTGTAAATTATACAAAGTGTTCAATTTAAAACACATCTCAACTACTACACATCAACTAATGGAAATATTAAATTATTGCAGTCGAATCCCAATGTTACAGATGAAGCAATGCTTGAAATCGGCACGGCCGTAATTTAAGCTGTTTTATCGATAAACTTGTTACACACAATCACTTGTACATAGCGAAATTTTACTAGTCGACGTATTCTCTTATTCGATAATTTCTTCTCAGAACACGCGTTGCTGCACAACATTCCAGAAGACATTTGTCTTCACATCAAAATCCTATTTTCTTTATATAACGCCCGTAATTTAAATGTGCATGATAATTTCTGATAAAATCACTGTTTTTTACACATAAATTATACGTTAATTATGTTTGGTATAAAGTAAACTTTACAAAAATTAATCGAGAGTCGTGGTCGGTTAACAATCCTGCTTCGTATTCGGGAGGTCCCGGGTTTAAATCTCGGTCCAGAGACCACTTATCCTGACTAGGTTTTTCGTGGTTTTCCTCAGTGGCTCAAGGTAAATACCGGGATATTACCTTCAATTAGGCCGCTATCATCCTCTCATTCGACACCTGAACTATTGATAAAGTGTCGTTAAATTAACTGTACACAAATAAATTTACAAATGTTAAGGAAAAAGTATGGTATGAAAGACTCACTTAAATGCAAAGGCTTTAAAAGAACGTATAGAATTTTGACATTACAGGGAGGATAGTCGTTTTGAGAGCTAAGAATTTCCCATCAGTTTATGGAACCCAAAGGTTCACTATCGTCTTCAAAGCCCATGACTAGATCCTACGCTGTACACATCCTCACATTTCGTTTCCTTCTTATTCTTCCTGATAAAATCCCTTTTCTTCAACTTTCCGACACGACTGTGAATATATTTCACGGCTCCCCGACGCGTGCTACATGTCTCGCCCATCTTATTATCCGTGATACGTTGGTCATAATATTACGAAGTTTCCTACATTCACCTGTTATTTATTCTTATTTGCACCCAAATGTGCAACCTTACCTAAGACTGAAACAAATGATTACACCAACACAAAACAACAGACGTACTTTTAACTCTCATTATGTAACTATAGCACACAGCATCATTATTCCATCAGAATATAACATTTTTCAAAAAAAAATTGTGACTGTTTCGCATTTAAAACTTTCGATATCTGAAACGACTTGATAATTTTTTGTACGAAGTGTTTTAAGTTTTATTTACCTGTGCATATTTTATAATTTTAAGCTAGCGTTCTCGCAGCAGACACATTAAATTTGTTACAAACGTAAGAACAGTAGTCGAGCGTCTCACTTTTGCAGATTCTGTCTCTCCTAGCAGTGTCGGTGAGTTTTTCGTATCGTCCAAGCCTGGAAGAGAGTACGTCTGAAGCCACGCATGGCCAATACGGCTATGAACTCGGAATATACGGTAAGTTAGATACGTAGTTCTATGCTAGAGTTCTTAACCATCTAAATATAATGCTACTGTTTCAGTTACCAAGTGACTATATTTTGGCCAGATTTGATTTCGTTCCCTGACTAATATTTTCATGTTACTGGACACCCAAATGTCCTAGTGATTTTGATATAAACGTAACATTAAATGCGTCAAAGTTTAAATCCTAACCGCTGTTATAAATACTATAAGATATTGTGTACCTGAATAAAACCATAAAAACCCTCAATTATAATGGCCAGTGCACCGTTCGAGACTCGAACAACGAACTTCTCCGAAGGTTATCAGGCTCGTTATTGATACTCATACGCGCTCTTGTCTGATAATGACATGAATTAATTATAACATATCATGCCAGTTTGTTCATGTAATATTTCGATTGACGTTACCCTTGGAATAATAATTCTCAGTACCTTGTTCTGAAAATCTTGGAGCTTACCGAGGTGCGTTTTGGCCGCGTACGTTATTATTGGACGTATGAGGGTTTTATAGATAATAAAAAGCACCAAGATATGATTTTATGGCTTTCATAAACCAAGTCAAGTGTTTCGGCTGGATAGTTCGACATGGAAAGGATATATAATTTTACAGAAACATAAAGCTATGGATTATTTGAAGCCGAGTACGCCATGTGTTTCACACGCTTACTAATTTGTGATGTTGCAGGGATACACACGCTCATAACGATCGCAAAGGCGTCTTCCATTTTGTGGCTGATCGTCAACCTGGCATTACTCTATGGTACCATAAATGTGAGTTGTTTCGTTAGAGTATACGTAATGTCCATCAGAGCAGAGAACTGACTCGACCTTGGAGTCGTGCTGAACGCTGTCCTAAAATCATTGCCCCTTAAAAAATGTTCTCACTGTTGGAAAGATCTGAATGATATCTGATACCATGGATGTGTTACCTGACGAAGATACTAATTCTGTATAAACTATGTAACACTAAAAATAGAAGTATAACACGAAATATAAGAAAGTTAGAAAGCCAAAGGAGAACTCATTATCAGCCGATGTTTTTACACCGCGTATTAGAACGGCCGTGTGGCTGCGCACATCGGCACTTCATTTCAAGGTCGATTCTGCGTTAATTCTGTTCAAACAGTAATGTAATCCAAATAAGTGAAAGACTTTTTAAATGACTCACAATTGACCTTCATACATTCACGAAAGGAATTCATGGCTTTATTTAAACAAGTGATTTGTTTACTTAAAATTAACTAGGGAAGGCGACTGTGGCTAGTTTACTGTATTTTTCAAATGTTTGTATGAAATATAGTAATAAAAATCTTTAACATACTTGATACTCTTAAAATTCATGTTATTTATTTTGGCGACATGTTGCGGTATGATTATACCATCTTTTCTTTAGTACGCAAACTGCAGGCTAAGACAGAATTAAAATTGTATTGAGGTTAAAATTAAAAATTACCATTTTCGTTAAAAGTAACGTAAACTTTAAATGGAGTAGGATGGGACCACTGTTCCAACGGAAATAGACTTTGAGATATAATTGTGGGCTTTATTCTTGTAATGTTAGACCTTCTACTTGCGAACCGGTAAGGCATCAGTGCGTGGTAGGTGTCATTTTGCGTAATATGTCTGTCTACAGGAGCAAGTCGAGTTTGTAACCCCATGGGTTGTCTGGCATCTTGTACTGCTGTTCCTTCAAGTGATTATCGCTGCTTGGTGCGGTGACATTATCACCAGTACTATAAGTGCCTACGCTCTTGAGCTAGGTACTTTGATTTTAACCGCCGTACTTAGCGAAGGTGAGTAACATTCGAAGTGATCTGTAAGTAAGTATCGCTTAAGTTAATATCTTACTCAGCACGTGGGGTGAACACAAATGATCTTTGAGATTCAAATATGTAACAACAAATAAATGACACACCTGAGATTTTTTTTGCCGCACGCTAGAATTTGAATAGAGAAGTAAAATATATGATTACAGTATACTTATTTTAAGTAATGTCATTCATTGTACAAACATATAAAATTATCGTAAAACAGAAACATGACGAAGTTTAATTACTAAACAATATTCAATTACGAATAACAATGTAATATTTATTTTATTTAATATAATCATTCTTTCATTCAAAACTTCGCAAAAGCTCGCGGCACACTGGTTGAGAACCAATGGTCTAGAAATAAAAGCAGAGGAACTAAGAAAACATTCACGTCACGTCCTTCGAAGATGTATTAAAATGGAGTTTAATTCAGCATTTTGGATTAAACACATATTAATTAAAGACTCTGTTTAAATTTAAGAGTTTACATGGCATCAAACTTTATATTGATATTATATATTAAAATACCATGTATCATGTAATATTTTAAAATAAGTATATTTAAACCTGTAATCAAAATTATTTTAAAATTTGCTGCTTGCATGTAAGCGACATGAGAAAAAATCCCACCTGAAAATTTGGCCAGATTCTAAGCGTGACCAATTACTGATATGATTAAGTCATTACTAACATTGCGAAAGACATGTTCTAGCATTTACTTTCCAGGGTTTTATTTTTGTTATAGTGCTCCTGATTTACTTCTTCATCGTGGTGAACAGTTTTCGTCAAAATCTCAAAACGGAGGCAACAGAATATACACGATTAAAGTCAACAACTTCCTTGTAGAGCTCAGACATTACCAGAATAATCAATTCTTCTGTCCGGATCTGGTGTAAAATAATGGATAAATATCAACTGTCAACCTCTGCTTACTGCGTCAGTGTTATTGAACTCCGTGTGAAGAGTAAGACGCTAGAGACATCTTCCTCTAGACGTTTCAACTATATGTCATTTAACAAACAAATATGGCTAAAATATATGCATTTCTCTGAAGGAATCATCATACACTACCCAGTTTTATGAAGATCAAAGCCATTTATAATGACTAAAAAATGTTTCCAATTGTCTATATGTGTACTGATAATGTAGCAGACGAGACTGAGGGACGAAATTTGAGCTCTGCATTGGCATGCTCAAATCCCAATCACTAGAACACTCGTATGTTAGTTTTCACAGTGTTAAAAAAATTCCAGTAATTATATTATGCCATTCTGAAAGTTGTAATTCACTGTCTTAATTAAATAAATTATCGTATCCTCATACTGAGCTTTGTTTAATGCACATTTGATCGATTCATTAGTCCGAAGATGGCTGCCTCCTCGTTTGTAGCGCCGTGTAGTCTGGTACAAGTTAACCAACGTTTCAGAGGTCCTTGCTGCCTCCATCATCAGGGCGATGAGGAGGGAGATTTCTGCCAGACTACACTGCGCTAAAACCCAAAAGACAGCCATATTTGAACCCACTGCAGTGAGAGCCTCAAATCTTACTGTTCTAGGAGAAATTTTCTCCCACTAACACATTTCAAATTGTTTTTAATTTTAATACCACTTCATTCCGACGGCTGGAATAGATCCTGGAACATACTAAGTACTAGAGAAGTAGCCTACCATGTGATATTTATCCTACAACTGTATTAAAACAGACTGCTGATAACAATCTGTCAGAATAATGGCAATTGACAGAAAGGCTGGGAGCAAAGCGGACTCCCAGAAAGTTATACGAAATATACCTCAGGCAGAGACATGTCCAGTACAATATTTGTATAACTTGTCTACCTGCTTGTGTTTGTGGCTGTAATCAGCTTGGCTGACTGGCTACATACTTGGGTACGACGAGTTTCACTGCGGAGACACGGGGGCGAGCACACGGAGTAAGTTATGTGAATAATGGGTATTTTGGATTATACAGCGAAGTTGTGGCATTTTTAAAAACAAGAATCATGTAATTAATGTCTCTTGTCAAGCAAAATGACGTAGCAATAATTTACAAATGGTTTAAATCTCGAATGTTAACGACTGTCTTGACAGATGAATTGCTTCTTCACGGTATTTTTGTTAAATATCGGAATCGAACCCTCCTTCCTAGTTTTTACTTTCCCACTGTTCATGTTCATATATATAATATAGTGAACAATTAATTAGAAAGGATGTGGAAGGAACTGGTCATGCTCTAATTTCAGGCACTACCATGGAATTTGCCTTGGAGAGCCTCCGAAAAAAACACGAAAACCTCAATCACAAGTGATAACCACTTACTGATATGATTCATCACTTAAAATACTTCTCTAAATCAAAACTATATTTATTACGAAATTATTACAATTTGTGTTACAAACGGCTTACTACTTATATTTAAAGAAAAATGACTTACAAATTGTTGTAACAACTATTTAATTACATTTAAACTTTTGTTTTGTAATAAGGTTATATTTTTCTTAAAGCAAATGAAAATGTCTTGAGACAGTACCTTGACTAACTCACAGTTTTATTTATACCAGCTTCCTAGTCTGAAGTATAATATTTTACAAACAACCAAAAAATCACAAAGTAATTTTACGAATGCCATTACAGATTATTTCAAAGATGGCTCTTTCAGAACATTGACAAAAGACAAAATCACTATTTATATAAGGTTGTGTTCAAAAACAGTTTAGTATGTCACTTATAAAGGCAGACACAGCTTCACTCAAAATTGTTTAAAAAAAAAATGTTTCTGGAATGTATCGAGACTAGACGAATGAAACAACATAATGGGCCAACTCCAGAAACTTCATTTATGTACAAGATCCCCAACATAAAAAATTAGCTATTTTTGAAAATGTGTTTATCACTTAACATAACCTTAACCCACTGCTCAGGACTCGCCACCATTTAAACATGTGCGCAAACACAGGCAAGATGTAATTTATATAAGTTTTCAAGGGTTGAGCAATCATTCTACACAAAATGTCAGGATGAATACAAGAAAGTATTTATATATTGCTCAAATACTGATAAATCAACAATATGTCATCTTATTCATCATTTACGTGAGCCATGAAACATCAATGATTAAAAACAGACCCAGAATAAGTGCTTCAAAGGAAGTCACTTTCAACACCTAAAGATAGCAATATTTTAATGAAGTTGCACAACTTTTTAATTGCCCTGTAAAACTCAGTATGGAGAACTGAAATAATCATCTATTTCACATACCTATTTTGAAGAAAACTTTCGGAGTTGGCAGTGAAGATTATTTTGTATGTGCACCTTTAGACCTTCGTGGTACAGCGACGTTAAAACGCAAGTCGAACTGCTGATCCAGTCCAATGTGAACGTTTGACATTAGATATAAGGTGTAGGTCACTTCACCTGCAACCACGCCGAACAAACATCAGACTGATGAAACAGGATTCAACATTTACAATCACTTACCCTAAAAATCAACTATGAGACAGAAGAAATGTCTTAACTATACTTGCCTGTTCTTCGGCAGGTATTAACTAAAAAAAATTACCTTTGAAAGTTGTATAATTTTTAATGATTTCTTACTACGCAAAACTTCCGTCAGATGGAGGTATGACAGGCTCATCTAAACAATGTTTAAGAATTCAGTCTGTACCATAAACGAAAAATAACTCGACTCCATTACAAAGACAGACTATTTAAGGAAATGTCCCTGTTTACAGTGAGAATTATACTAAAACCATAAATAAAACAGCAGCATTACTGACCGTCAAAGCAGCTGATACACTGGCTTGAAAAGGTTAGTATTTAATGATGGAAAAGCAATGACGCATGTACCATAGTTCAAATGTGACAACCTTAAGATAGCGTATGAAATTATGTATACAAACAGATTAATAAAATGTAAAATTATTAGTTTATAATTCCCATTCAGCTCTGAACACAGAATTAAGTTTCTTAAGTAAAGCAGGAATCATAAACTGATTACTAAGCTGTGGCAAGAGACGAGATGGTCATGTGGTCTGGGGTCCTGTTTGCTTAGAAACTCGAATCATGGGTTCAAATCCCACTCTAGACATCGATGTTTGTCTGCATCTGTGTGTGTTGTGCTGTCATGATCGTTCATCCAATAAGTCCTACCAATGTCTAAATAGATTAAGAAACCTCCCACATGCGTGGAGGCCAAGGTCCTTCAAGCTCAATAGAGCCACAGATGATGATGATGATGATGATGATGATAGTAATAATAATAATAATTATGTTGTTCCTAGAAGAAAATGAGGAAAAATATAAAATGTTCTTTCAATGTTACCACACACAGAAAAGATCCAAGTGTGTGTCATAAGCTATATCATGATTTAGTGATCGTGTTTAGCCACAAAGTCCATTTGTTGTTTGCTTATGGGACTCGTATACTGTCACGCAGGGAGGGAAACTGCTGAGTATTCCCAGCCAGCCCTCAATCAAAGCCTTGGACAGACAGAATATTGAAGGCAGCGGAGGACAGGACCAAATGAAAGAGGAGAATTGAGGAGGCCATGGACCGAATACGGACCAGAGAGCCAAACAAGAAGAAGAAGATTCCCAGCCAGCATACCAATGAAATATACATGGCTGCTGATAACATAGTTGATGGGGACCATGACTGGTCATGGTGCTAAAGCCATCTGATAATTCTGTTCTGACTACAGTTCCACGTGAACTTTGTTTCGCAGATCACACCCCTGCAGCCGATGACCTTCTGTATATCACATGTTAAGTCCAGAAACTAAACCACCAACATTGTAAAGAACTAAAAATATTTTAACTGAAGATAAACAAGAGATGCAAACAATATATCTGCAAATGCTACAAGATAAAATAAGGACTTTGTTCACCTGTCACATCTGGAGATTCAAATGTGAGGAACACTTTATGGGTACCAGTGTTCACTGTCTTCATAGCCTGTAGTTCCTGTCCAAGCCCCAGAAAGATTCTCCACGAACCTCTGCCGCAAACTTCCTTTAGTTCCACAGACAAAGTATACTCTCTCTGAGGGGTTAACTGGACCATGTTTCCTCCGTTTATCTTCTCATACATTTCTTTAAGCTTCCAACACCTATTATCATTATGCACTGTCACCTTAACGTTTACTATTGGAAGATTACACAATGCCTTGTGAATCTAAAATTAAACAAATTATTTGCAACATAAAGTATTTATTCCACACAAAATTGTTTCCACATAAAATTAATACTGTGTTGCTGATATTTTCTACATATACATGAATGTTAACAATTTGGGAAGCAAAATAGTTTTAGTTGTCAATATGACTGAACTGACAAACCGACTGAAAATACAGGTAGCCCTCTATTTGCGCCAATTTTGAAACCAGCAAGTCAAAAAGTGAAAAAAATATATTTTACTATTATTTATTACGTTTTACAATGTATCTCGTACTAATTCTTATACTAAATCGTAATTCTTACATCGCTGATTTTGAATAAAAATTATAAATACAGTCATCTCTGCAATTATGTAGATTGATGAATTGGTAAAAGCTGTGTGGCAAGTTACAACACTGGTGAGCTGGCAAGTGATTACATGATTTAGCAATTTTGGTGTCAAACATTCACTTGGATTAGATTTGTTCTCTGGTTGAAGTGTTTTAACCGACAGTTCTATTTATCACAAAACGAGAAGAAAAGAAATTTGCTACAAAATTTCAATAACATTTTTTGGAAGAACATGACCTTGTGGAAAGAAAATTATAGTGATGGGTGAAAACACCCGGGTCTTCCACTCTGACCCAAGGACAAAACACCAATGTCCAATGAAGACTAAAGAAACAGCCTGGGGAGTTTATCAAAATCAAGGCACAAAGACATGCTGATCATAAATGTATTAGGTACAAAGAACAATCAAACGAGCATTTCCAAGTTTTAAAATCTTTGCTGCAGCATGACCAAATATTTGGTCCAAAAAGTTAATTTTAAATCAGGATAATGTCTTTTAACACAACACTTTTGACCACAAACCAGGCAGCATTGTTGGAACATCCACCATAGCCTAACCAATTTATACCACGTAACATTTTCATGTTCCTGAAAAAAAAAAAAACACATTCGAAGGACAGCATTCAGAGTAATATGAAAGTAATGAATGCGCTTCAGTCACACGATTCTGTTCAAGTCAGAAGGCGAGTGCTACGAAGATAACCATGCTCAGTAAAGGTTAATGGCCACATATATTTTTACAGAATTAGTTCAGATATTTAATTGACAGAACTCATGCAGATGCAATATCACCAAAATATAAATTAACACTGACACAAAAAGAGAAAGATCAGCCTATGCTGGCAAAGTCACAAACCTCCATTATCTCCTGAACCTGAAAATGATCTTTCAGTGTTTCAACCATTGTGGGGTAGTTCTTACAATACAGAGCCTGAAGTTCAGGTAGACATCTCAAAGTTTTCTGACCGTGAGACAAGAGGAACTTCACATTACGTTGTGCAACATGGGGCAGTGTACATAAAGGAGCACTTCCATCACCCCAGCTACCAACCACAAGCATCTGCTGTAGTAATTGTGCCCATAATGCACTCTTCAGCCATCCTCGGTCACTGCAGATCACAACCACCACCTGCAAGTAATTATATTCAAATATTTTCAGACACATAGCTTACTCTGCCATTTTTCATCATCTTTACTACAGCTGTTACAATTTCAAAATCAAGAAGTAGCATAAGGTAATAATTTTGGTGATTAACAAAAGCATATTAATCTACTCGTTATATTTTTACCTTCTTAACTTGTAACCTCATGGGCAGGTCACCTGATTCGGATGGACGACATCTGAATTCCAAAGATGGTATTCAAAGGAAGTGTTGGAGGAAGAAGACCAGTTGGAAGACTAAGGAACAGATGGGAGGATGCAGTTCAAATGGATGCCACACTGCTCCTGAGGATTAGAAACTGGAAGAAGGCAGCAGAGGATAGAGGATAGAGAAGAGGAGAATTGAGGAGGCCATGGACCGGAGAGCCATAGAAGAAGAAGAAGTACTTGTAACCTCTGATACACAAACTTATTTGATCTGTATGGAATAAGGAGGAAATGCCACAGCAGTAGGCGGTATTTATTAGCGTGCCAATTCATAAGAAGGCTGATTAGACAGATTGCAATAATTATCGAGGAATCTCCCTCTTATTATCTGCCTACAAAATTTTATTCAACATTACTCTTGTGAGGCTGACTCCATATTAAAAATAAAATTAGTATGCATGTTGGTCTTGGAATGAATGCAGAAAAGACAAAATATATGATCATGTCTCGGCATCAGAATTCAGGACAGAACCAGAATATAAGGATAGCTAACGAATCATTCGAAAATGTTACAACATTCAAGTACTTGGGGACGACAATAACAAGTCAGAATGACATTCATGATGAAATCAAGAGGAGATTAAATTCGGGGAATATTCGCTATCATTCGATCCAACATCTTTTGTCCTCCCATCCCATATCAAAAGAACTACATTAAAATATAAGAAAGTGTAATTTTGCCAGTCGTGCTGTATGGGTGTGACACTTGGTCTTTCACCTTGAGGGTCTTTGAGAACAGAGTGTTGACAAGAATATTTGGATGTACATGGGAGGAAGGCAGTGGAAAAAATTACATAATGATGAGCTTTATGGCCTGTACTCCTCAACTGATATTGTCAGGGTGATTAAATCGAGGAGGATGAGGTTGGCGGGACATGTGGCATGCATGGGAGGGGGAGAGGTGTTTACATGGTATTGGTTAGGAAGCCTGAAGGGAGGAGACTTCTGGAAAGACCTAGGTGTAGGTGGGAGAATAACATTAAGATGGACCAAAGGGAGATAGGAATCTATAGGCATCTCAGGATAGAGTTTGGTGGCAGGCTTTTGTGAACATGGTGATGAACCTTTGGATTCCATAAAGAAAGTGGGCTATCCTTTGACAAGCAGAGTACACAAACGTTTCAAACAATTTCCTGCACCACAGAATGAGTAACTTGTAACCTCTACTAAATACGTTGGGTGGTAAAATCAAGGAGGATGTCACAGGTGGAAAATGTAACATTCAAGAGGGAAATGAGAAACAAAATACAATAGTTTAGGACCCTCACCTAGCCCTTTATTATTTCATGGTACATTCAGAGCCTAGCGACACTTGGTAATTTTCCAATGTTTAGTGAGTGAAGAATTTTGAAGTGCATTACAAATCTATTTGAAACAAAAATAAATATAAGCAAGGATTAGACACACTTTTTAATGAAAATGTTACCTGTATAATTTTCTTTGCAGAAACAAGAACTTCTTTCATATCTGACATATAGCCAATAAAATGAGACAACCTACACCCCAGTCCTGCAAAATGGGACTGCAGTAAGAAGAATACTTTTACCACCACAGGTACAAGATTTCTTTGCCTCAGCTTCCAACGGCTGTGTTTCTTCAGCTCCCTGCAAAAACACCGAGCAGACAAAAATGCATACAAATTTCCTTGACCAAGAAACCAAAGATAAAAATACAGAAAGTGTACCAAACAGGTTAGCACTACAGTAAAATCTGTGACTTGTATCTGAATCTCTACCAACAAACTGACTATCTATACTGAGGATTTTGATCAATGGCAAACAGTGGATCAGGACAAAAATGGCATCTGTATTTACTACCAAACAAAATTTTATTAGAAATGTTCTACAGATTATTTTCTTTTACCAAATCTGTTTCATCTGTTTTCCATACATCATCAGAAATTTACAATAAATCTAATTTATGGTCAGTAACAGATTAAACAGTCGCCATCGGTGGACCAGTGGTTAGCGTGCTCACCACTGGACCCAAGGTTTGTGGGTTCAAACCCGGCCGAGGTCGACAGATTTTTAAGGGTGACAAAAATCCATAGCAAAACTTCCTTCGGTGGGGAAGTAAAGCCGGCGGTCCGATGTCGTAGATTTACGGCATGTAAAAGAACCTTACGAACATGAAAAGAGATGTTTCGTAAGCAAAATTCAGCGGCCATTTCTCACCCAAGTCTCTCCTGATTCACTACTAGATGGCTCTAGCAGTCAAATCAGGGTCGAGTAGAAATTGTGCAGAGTCAGTGGGCTGGTCACTTACTACTCATAAATGCACAGTTCAAAGACTAGGAAAACCTCTGAAATGGAGGTGGCAAAGACCCACAACTGGGTTGTAGAGCCAAGAAAGAAGAACAGATTAAACAATAACACTAATTAAAGTTTGCCAAATAAAGAAAAGTAAAATACAGACATATACTACAAATTCCTCTTAACCCTTTCTGTAATAGATACCAACATATTTTGACATAGTGAACTGTTTCAGAAAACTCTTGTGAAATGTAATAATTACCTAATAAGTTGATTATCATGGACTCTAGCAGGCAGTTTTGTGAATTCCTGAGCATGGCATATAAGTAGCAATATTTCCTGCTGTGTCATACAAGAATTTAAACTTTTGCTCAAATACTTGACTGTGTTATGACACAGTTCCATGGAACAAGACAATAAACCCAACAAAGTTGGCTGAAGGTGTCCAGAGTCCTGCAAAGTAACAAATATATGTCATTACTATATGAACTGAACTGGATAAATCAATAAATTTACCTGCTCTTTAGTATAAACCAAGACAAAGAAAAGATTAGACATCATGGCAAGCTAACTTACTTTATATTTCAGACATCCTTGTTCAAATGTTGGCCAGATGACTGACAATTATGAGTTTTCATGTGGTTTTCCTGGGATGTCAACTTCAAATGGGCTATGACCATTTTGCTTCATAATCTTCCCAATCCACAAATTAATTATATGTCGTCTAATTAAGTGGTATGTAACCTCCATAACCGATGTAGCATCACAAACATCTACCTCTCATTGACAGAATATAGGTACTCTTTGTTACACCTGTGTTCTAAAAACATGTCTTCAATTTAATTAGCCCACGTGCTACCATTGGTCCACTCCCATGCCTGCTGCCATTGGCTCGGGGCAGGCTACACCTTTCACTTTCCAGCCTATAAACCTAGCACCTCACACCCTATTGGCATATTCATCGCCCTGATGACGGAGGCAGTATGACCTCTGAAACGTTGGTTAACATCGACCAGACTACACAGCACAACAACCCAGAAGACGGATATCTTCATACTCACCGCTGTGAGAACCTCAAGTCTTACATAATAACACTCACTTTAATGTGAAGTGCTTACTGGCTAATTGAGAGACTGTGAGGGTGGCAGAGAGAAAGGACTTTCTTCTTTTAATTTATGCAATTTCACCCTGTGACTGTTCTCTGGAGTACAAATGCCACATAAATCAAGAAGTACCTGTATGTCATTCACTAAACAGTAAAATGTTTCTGTACTTTTATTTTTTGTAATTCCTTTTTTAACACTTCCACTTGTTGCTATTTTAATACCCAAATATTTAAAGCTTTCAGATCTTTTTACTTCTTAGCTATCACATTAAATCTCTTCCTTAGCATATTCTTTATAATAAAGATAGTGGAGTAACATCACGACACCTGGAATCTAGTCCCCCCCCCCACACACACACACATATAGACTTGGGTTAGTAAAACATTTACACAGAAGTTAGCTGCAGAAGCCATCAGGAGTGTCTGTCCTGCGGAAAATTTATTTCTTGAGTTCAGTCATATGTATCGATGGACACATCACAGAAGCCGATTACCACTGGCCTTTAAAGTCCAGGATGGTCATAGGAGATGGTTTCATTATCACACCTCTTAAAAGAAAAGGCAATCCATGTGGCAGAAGAATGACAGAAGTCTTCAGCCCAATAAATTACGAACAGCGCCCTCTGCTGGCAAGCAGATGGCCACAGTCCTCTGGGACATAGAGAACAGGGGACGACAATAAACAGTTATCATTTACTGCAGCATCCTCACATCTTTGTTGGAAAATTCATCTGATTTCCTAACAAAGATGATTTGTAGAACAGTGTCCATTTGTTCACTATTTGTTATCCTAAAAGACCAGTTTGTTGCAGACATCATGAAGTAACCAGAAAGATGGCAATGGTGCACTGACCTCAGTGGGGAGTACTAAAGTGTGATTAAGCAGATGTCATCTGTCAACCTGTGTTCCAGATTAATCACTTTTGAACAATCCTCGTGTAACATTCATGCCAACCATCCATGTAACTGGACCAACAGGTTCAACAGTGAGTTAGAGTTTCTATTACAACTCTCTAATAATCTTGACTTCTGTAAGGAGCTATCTAAGTCCATGGATCACAGTCATTCCATACCTTACCCTGAGTAAGGTGAATCCAGTCTACATGTCTATATACTCAGACACTACAGGTAGGCCTGCTTTATGACGCTTCCTTTTACACTGTTTCACATTAACGCCCTTTTAAAATAACAACGAAAAAATAAAACAAATATAAGAAGAAAATTTGAAAACGAAAGCATAAACGCAGCACAGGAAGTGGGTAACTAGGTGGCGCTAGTCTCAGCGTCAGTTGCTTTCTCCTCGTCCGCCAGTACAATACATTATAATTCTTTCTCAATTTACGCCGTTCCAGCTAACGACCCTGAGGAGGTGGAATGTAACCCCTGCGTAAATTGGGGCCTACCTGCATTCATTTAGGATCAATTTTAATATTAGCATAGGTGGCCCAAGTGGAAGGACATTAACAACAGCGAAAAGTTTACTTACTCTTAACACTCACCTCCAAAATAACACATCCTGCAGCTTCAAGAGAGCACAGTGACTTTTCTACTAACAATGATTGGTAGCCTTTGGACTCATCCGTAAACATCGAACCCAAATAGTAGGATGGATTGCTGATAAGTCTGTGGCCCAGGTAACTACGGGAAAGGTGATCTAATGCTGATTTTCTTGACTCCACAGTCTTTGTATTAATCTCAGTATTGAGGTATTCAGGTAAGACTGCCAACAGATGTGATTCAACACACAGAGCACCTATAAAGGGAAAATCATTGAAGATCATATTCATGACACTAGCAAGGGACCAAATATTAACAAAAAAACAGGCCTACATCAAAAATTCTCCGAACATTAGAACACTTTAAATATAACCTTTAAGAATTAAATTGTCTCCTGGCTTAAAGAGCCGGACAGGACACTACAACAAAGTAACACAATTGCAGACTTTTAATTATGTTTAAAAACATAAAGTTAACTGGCATTAAAATGAATTTGTGAATAATACAGAATTTTTATGTTACAAGACAGTGAAAAGTTTAAGTTGCTAAGCTAGTCAAGAAATTATCCATCCTTTAATAAATTCAGAGTTACATTTTCATTTTCACAAGTGCCTGCTATAGAACCCTAAACCAATCTAGATGAATCCACGCCACACCCTCAAACCCCATTTCATTAAGAACCATCTATACCATCCTCCCAATCACCCTTAGGTTGATTTCCTCCATTCAAGTTTCCAACCAGGAATCCATGTGAGTAATAATATATTTTGAAAACTTAATATACAGGGCAACTGAAAAACGACTCACTAGATTCAAGATGCAATTAACCCGTGAAATATTAAACAAAACAAAGTACTTCTTTAATATCTAGAGAAACTCTCAAAGTTTTCTGACATCCTTAATCAAGTAGCTTTACAGACATAAAAGCAGTATTAAATTTCATCTCAGGTACAATGTATTGATTCATATATGACTTGAGGCTTTTGCAGTGACTAAATGAAAAAAAAAAAAAATCCTCTTGGGTGACAAGCCACATCAAAATGGAGCAGTAGTCCTATGTTTCAAAGATACTCTCTGTCTCCATCATCAGGAACGATGACGTACATTATGACATGGCTTATTGCCCACGAAGATTTTACTGAATGTAGTGACTGTCGCTGCAGCACTGTAAATTCTCTCTCACAGATGATGTAAACCACAGATTTTCTCTGGGCAGATAATGTTTTTCACACATTCTCATATGAAAAATCCAGTGGTGTACAATCTGCTCTTCTTGGAAGCCAGGTTATCAGTCCACTTCTTCCAATTCATCAACTAGGGAATCGAGCATTTACAGCATGTTGAAGCTAGTGACAAAAATGGGGTAGGGGCTAAATCCTGTTGGAAAACAACTTCAGTTTCTTTTTCGCTTTCAATGCCTTCAATTTGTAGAAAGGTAAATGATGGTGTTTTCAGCAAAAAAAAGAGGGGTCTTACCACACAGTCATACAGAAGGCCACACCACATTCACTTTCAGGGTGTCACACTCATATTCAAAAGCTTCATGCATCTGCTCTGCTTCACAGGTTTGACAGTTATGATTAGCATGACCATTAATGTTCAAATTACTCACCTTAGAAAATCTGCACCATCATCAATTACATTTAACAAAAAATTTATATATCAAAATCTTTTTGTAGGATCAGTGTTTTTTAATTTGAACTCAGTAAGCATGTAATTTAACCACTTATACAACTCATTTTGGATTGTGGTTCCAGGTATACAAAGTTTAAAACTATGATACTTGATTTCTGTAGGCTCCATACACACAACATTCTTATTGCAACTTACACTTTAATATTCTTCATGTTCCTTCAAACTGAATAAACCAATCTGGCACTCTAAGATTCTTTTCTGTATGTAAATCAAAAATTTCATTGGTTACAATGCACTTAAACTGAGTAAACTCCATGATGCACTGGGCATTCTCATAAATGGACATCAACATATTGATTGTACAACAAACACATATTTCAATGTTACGCAGAGTCGAGTGCGCACGCACACCTAGTAAGGAACAAAAACTCTGTGAGTTTTTGAACATTTCGTAACAAACCCCACAACTGCTCATGTATATTTCAAATTAAATGAGATATTAAACTTTAAGATCTGTAATTCTTCTTCAATGAACTGTACTTCGTATATGTTATATTTCAAATCACATACCTTGAAAGTACGCCTGGTACAAGGACTTCTTTGACTCCTGAGTAAAAATGACAGCCTTTGTCCAACAGGTACTACACGAATAAATCTTATCTGCTATTTCACGTATTGGTATGTCAATGTAGTTCTCCATACTGACACAGTATTGTTCAGTTCCTTTGACAATCAAAAGATGGCTTTTCATTTCTATGTCATCTATCACATCCCAGCTTACCACTATAACCTGCAATATAAGAATTTTTCTTTCTCTCATCCTCTTTTACCCGCAGGTGTCGAGGTTTATTTATTCATTTTATTGATCTATTTGGACAATGGTAGGACTCCTTGGATGAGTGATCAGCCCGACGCAAGGCCTCTACCTATACAAACACAGAAAGACGCGGACAAACATCCATGCCTTGAGTGGGACTCGAACCCATGGTCACAGCAGTCAGGTGCACGAGGATCATGCCTCAGACCGCGTGGCTACTGCGGCCGGCAGAATTTTTCTATATGTAAAAAATCAATTACATACATTAAAATGTGAATATATAAATGCAAATTAAGCACTGTGTGTGCGTGTGTGTGTGTGCGCGCGCGTGCAACTAACTCCAATGAGCTTCATATTTTGTGAGAAGGTAATAGTTGCTTGGCCAGTCAAATTTCCTTCCTCGTTCACAACAGCTTATCATCAATTCCTAACCTGAGCCAGTTAAATTCAGTCCACTGCATCCACCCTATTTCTTTAAGATCCAGTTTCACATCAATCTCCCATCTATGCCTGCATTTCCCAAGTATTTTCTTCCATTCAGGTTTTCAAACCAAAACTGCATAAACAATTCTCATCCCTCACGTATGCCAAGTGCCCTACCTATTTCATAATCCTTTATTTGATCACAGTATCTCATAAAAGGTAGGAACTATGAAGCTCTTTACAGTGAGAGCTTCTTAACAACCTGCACAAATCTCAAATTGGAGAATCATTCCTTGCTAGCTGCCTGTGATTGGTTACTCAACAGCATCCATTCACTGGAGGCTTTCTACTCCAGCCACAATCTGAGGATGTGCTATGCTGTGATGACATGGTGACACGTGTACACAAATATATGGCAACAAAATAAATAAAAAGATACAACATAATTAAATATAACAAACTTTGTAACAAACTAATTTGTTACAGAAGATATACAGTTCAGTGGCTTTTTAAAGATTAAAATGTACAAAACCATAATTTCACATCTCAGACTATGAATAATTCATAAAATGTACACAAGTGGAACATACAGAAAGTATAAGGGAGAAAAAAAAAGGTCCACATACAATTTCGGTTAGAAATCCTGAAAGGAAAATAGTACTTACAGCACCTAGAAGAAGAAGAAAAAATATTGAAATCAATCTTAGGAAAACAGGGTATAAAGATATGGACCAGGATTAAAGCGATGCATAGGTGGTTTCGTGAACACAGTAATATACTTCTTGTTGAATTTGTAGTAGACCTCTGTCTTCTTGAACACTGTGGTCTTAATGGCACAGTATTCATGTTAGAAGTGAAATTATTTCACATTAAACATATGGTAAGATGATCTATACTGCAAATAATTGGCATTTAATTTGACTAAATAAATTTTATTTAAGAAAAAATCTGATATGAAAAGAATTTATTTGCATTTCTTTTTATTAAAAACTTTTCCATCACTCCTATCAATTCATAAACCCTTGAAGATTGCCCTGATGATGGAGGCAGTATGACCTCTGAAACGTTGGTTAACATCGACAAGACTACACAGTGCAACAACCCAGAAGACAGAAATCTTCATAGCCCTGATGATGGAGGCAGTATGACCTCTGAAACGTTGGTTAACATCGACCAGACTACACAGCGCAACAACCCAGGAGACAGAAATCTTCATACTCATCGCCCTGATGACGGAGGCAGTATGACCTCTGAAACGTTAGTTAACATCGACCAGACTACACAGCGCAACAACCCAGAAGACAGAAATCTTCATACTCACCGCTGTGAAAACCTCAAATCTTTCAGAAATCCTTGTTTATGGTTAAGGCATGATCATACAAACCAATGAGCCACAGGTCAAACAAGATAGAAAATATCTGTTGTTCATGATTTGCAAATAAGAATAACCTAAGCCACATGAACATATGACAATTTTTGGACTGAGAATAAGAAATAATAAGTGTAACCTATAAATGAATAAATACAATGCACATTAAAAACATGCAATTATATGAAAACAACTCACCCTTATTTTTTGTGAGGTTGCCAGATCTTGCACAATGTCACAATCAACTTCACTCATTCCAGAGTGCAGAATGCCTATTCCATGTTGTAGCATGTCTTGCACAGTTAAATCTTGAGCACAGATAACATGTTTTGTATCTTGTTTCACTTCACAATGCAACCAAACCTTAGGATTCTTTGAATTCATAACTCTCGTCTTCAACACTTGAGCCGTTAGAATAACCTGCCTTTGTGTTGGAACCAACACACACACACATTTATTAGGCTGCAGGTGTTTTTTTAAAGTGTCCCAAACAGCTTGTGACATAATCATCATGCGTGTGGTATACCGTTTCTGAGTAAAAGCTACAATCTCTACTGCTGTAATAGATGAACTGGAACTATTGGAAACATATCCAAAATTATATATACCCTGTGGAGAATCAGGTGGTATTCCAAGAAAACGTGCAAAATCATTTGTATACGCTAGGGTAGCCCGACTTAAGCCTATCAGCCGCACATTATCACGAATTTCAGGTGCTCTCACTCGAGACACGACAGCTTCCACTGCTGTGTCCAAAACTTGCAGTTCATCCACAATGATCAGACTCACCTTACAAAATGCAAAGGTAACATATTAATTAGAAATTCTATTAATTGGAAAACTACAAGATTATTATACATATACATGTACTCTCTCGCATTTATCCTTGATCTACAGAAGGTACCAGATTCAGATTTTCAATCGGAGAAACGCTATTCTGAGATATTAACAAAAGATTCACAAAACTGGATTTTATGGACAACCAGTTTGTTCCATACCATTAAATATTTGCGTATAAGATATACAGTGGATTCTGGTTAATTGGGACACATTGGGACTAGAACACTTTGGCCCAATTAAGCGGCTGCCCCAATTATGCGAACTTCCACGTAAAGAGTTAAAAAGCCTGCCCTGATTAACCGATGGCCCTATTAACCGGGATCTACTGTATTTCAATATCAGAATAAAATTCTCTTTAATATAAGTATCTATCTGCTAATTCTGACAAGTCATTAATTCCATGCTCTGGCAAGAACTCCCATACATTTTTCTCCTCTCTGTGTTAAGTTTATAACAGAACATAACAGAAGTAAGATGAATTGTATGAGTAAAAATAGCATTCAGACAATTATAAAACACAGAAAAATTACAAACTTACGTAACAAATCAAATAATTACAATTCTGTTTTTACTGAAGCCAGGAACGCGAAACATGTACAAAATGATAAAAATACAAATCAAGTTTTTACAAGTGCTATATATATGCCTGTATTGTAAATTTGGCCTCATCCACTTGCTGCATGACTCCTATAATCTGAACCTTCAGAGTTTCAAATCTGTTTGGAATAAGAGGCACATAGATGGCATCTACATGAAGAAGCGTAGCAGTATATCCAAGGGGGTGAAGATGCCTCGATAGCCATGGGATTTGGCCACAATGGAAAATCCATTTGCCAGTATCATGCAAGATATATTCAGAGTTTTAATAAAAGCTTTAAAAAAATTGTTATATAAGTAAATAATTATACTAACTTTGGAAGCTTTCAGGGACTTTCGAATTTCTCTGGCACGACTGGTAACTTCCCAACGATAAGCAGTGGTCACAACAATATCAGCACTGAAGAAAGTTTGAATGCTTTCACTAATGTCTTCTGATAAAGATATTAATTTCCAACCAAATTTTTTGAACTGCTTCTGCCACTCAGTCAGCCTTGCCTTCACTTCAGACTTCTGTGAAGTCAAGTACACTACCTGAAAACATCATATAACAGATCTAAATTATTGGTACATTAATTTCTGCAGTATATAATGTAATTTATTATCATAATTTTCACCCACACTTTATCATAGTCTACATATTCTTCCCATATTTGAATATCAGCCAATTTAGTCATTATCAGTGTACATTTCCATGACACAAGTGGAAGATTATAAAGTGATATGAAGCAGTTAAGCTAAGATTTATGAACTATAGATACACACAAAATTTGATATTCTATTACAACAGTTCGAAACATTTAAGTCTTTAAAATCAACAGGACATATCAAACATAAAAAGTGTAATGTACATAATGATAAGAAGAAATTGAGAGATAATAAATCTTTCTTTGTCAGCCTGTCAAGCACCATCTGCGATTCTGCCTGAATCTCTTCTGTCGTCTCAAATCTCCTTCCCTTTAGCTGAATTTTCATCTTTGGGAAGAGGAAGAAGTCACACGGAGCTTAGAAAGGAAGTTGGGGTCGGTTCTTGCAAGATCTTTGAGCTCCTGACTAACGAGAAGTCGATTCTGCTTCTGGTCCTCAGACAGGAGCCTTGGTTTCGCATGTGGAGTTCTTCCTTTAGAATCAGCTGACAGGTCGCATAGCCTATCCCAACAATGTCGCACAAGTCGTTATGGTACGACGTCGATCTTCGTGAATGGCCTGCCGAATCTTGGTAACATTTTCGGGCGTTGTGCTCGGAGATGGTCGTCCAGAACGCTCGTCATCATCGACAGAAGTTCGGCCGTTTTTAAAACGTGAATGCCACACAAAAGTTTGTGCACGACCCATTGCGGACTCCCCAAATGCTTGCTTTAGCATTTCATAGGTTTCCGTAGCCGTTTTGGCGAGTCTTTGGCAAAATTTGATGCACACTCTTTGTTCATGAAAATTCGCCATTCCGAAATCGCAGGAGGGTCGGTGTAATGCACTACCAAAACGCCCGTAACTAAGAAACAAATGCTAATTCGATGATGCTGGCTGGCAGACTGATTCACTATGAATGTAGGCCGCACCCCCTAGCGGCAGAAGCTCGTATTACATCCGGTTCGCCCTCTATTGACACAGTCTTGAAACTTTCTGATCGCACCTCGTATGTAAAGTAATCAAAAACAGTGTAGTAATTAGCTAAACACATGAGACATATTCATAAAACAGTGTTCAAACTGCCAACCAGAAAAAGTAATTCAAGGTGTAAGGAGTAGGGATTTTTATTTAAATAAATAAAAAATTAATCAACAAATCCTGTTCAGGTTCTCTTTAATTACTCAAACAGGTGTTCCAACTTGTGATGAAGTTTTTCTAGTTCTTTGTGTTATGTAAGTCCCGCGCCGTAGCCACGCAGTCTGAGGCGTCATGCTTCGGACCGGCGATACGGAATGCGCGCTGGTTCGAGTCTCGGGGAAAGAAATTTCTCACGAGATTTTCTACCGGCGTATGGGATCGGTGCCAACCCAGCATCGTGAGGCAATTGGGGAGCTACAATGAGTAGCGTAATCCAGTGATGAAAACTAGGAATGGCTGGGGGTTCGTCGTGCTGACCACATGTCACCCTATACCTGGTTGGATGATCGCTCACCTCTGCTTGGGCATGCGAACGTGAGGCCAGCAGCCAGCTAGTCGGCTTTGGCTCTCATAGGGCTGTTACGCCACGGATTATTATTGTGCTGTGTAAACTCGTCAGTAGAAGTCAACATTTCAGAGAAACAATGTCTTCTTCTTCAGGAATAATTTCCATTTGATCATCATACTCGCTACCATAAAAACCTCAAATCTCACAACTTTCCCAATTTGTTAAGACAGAAAAGCAATATGAAAACAACAATAACAACAACATAATACCTTTGAACCAGGTTTGTTAGACATGACCCTGAAAATGGCCAACTCTGCAGCAGTAACTCTGTGCTTGGTTGCAGACGCTGCCAGCAACACGTTACAGTCCGTGTGATAGAGTGAATGAAATGCCTGTGTGATTTCAGAACTGAAGTGGTGAAATGAGTACATTTGCTCAAAAGCTTCTTGTTTCAAAACTGACACAGGCAATAGATGAAGTTTCAGCAATCCTGGAAAACACACAACAATCAACCACAATGCATAAGAGAGGAATTGCTGTATCTACCTGACTACAGACGTAAATGGCATACTTTAAAGCAATAAAAATTAATTGTTTTCAGTCATCAAATCAAAGAAAAAGAGGTGGGCAAGGCATGTAGTGTTCATGGGAGAGATAAAAAATTTGTACCAAACTTTTAAGTCAGAAAACCTGAAGGGATGTAAGACACCACTTGGAAGACCTAAATACTGATGGCAGATTAACACTAAAATATTACTTATTAGGATATGAGAGCTTGAACTGGATTAATTTGGCCCTGAATGTGATCCAGGTGTGAAATCTAATGGCCACAATAAAGAACCGCCTAAGTCACACAAAAGATGGTAACGTAATCACCGAAAATGTTATAATAATTTAAAGCTGTTACTTTTATAGCCAGATATATTTTTATTCCTGTTCACCTCAGAAAAGCGGTTGGCTCACAAAATACATTTACATCTGTAAAGTATTTAATGGAAGGAGGGGAAATAAAACTATTCTGAGAATATTTTGCATCTTCCAAAGACAGTTTCGTAATGCTATGTTCTTCACAATACAATCTTACCTGTTATGTTTAAGCAATCATTTGGCAAAGACACTTGCCGAAGATTTACATTACAAGTTTGGACGGCTCCCAACCATTTATCACTGACTATGCATACTGTGAAATGGTTTGGCAATGGAACACTTGTTGTCACTGGCAGAGTAAGTTCAACACAAGTCTTATTTTCAACCTAACAGAATAAAAAAAAGGCCAAGTCATACACATAACAGCAAACAAGCATAATTATTTAAAGTTATCCAATGACTAATCCGCATCTACAAATTTGTGTGTGGCATTCCATTATTATATCAGAAAAGAATCTCTTCACTATGCATAAACAGGCAAATCCTGCAAATACAGGCCCACTGTTAGAGCAATACCTCAACATACCATTAAGAAACTACTGAACAACAAGACAAAACATAAATATGGAGTGGGCTGCATTGCCACATCTTACATTTTCCCCAAAAACCTAGTACCTTCAGACAAACCTTGGGTTCTTTAAAGAGAGCCAATTTTATAACTCTGTAAAGGTGGTTGTTAAGAAATGGTTGCAAATATATTGAAAGAAATAGTGGTTACATAGAAAAAATAGTAAATGGCAGTAACTGTGTTCAAGACTGTCAGTGCAAAATTGGACAAAAATTAAAATGGCAGCATTACTTTTAAGGCAACCTTCGTGTGTGTGTGTATATATATATATATGCATGTATTACTGACTTCAATAGAACAGTTATGGAATCTAGTAGTTAACCACACTTGTTAAACCTCTGAAGCCAAAGTTCATCTAAACAATATTTAAAGCCTGTCTCTATTAAAGATATCAATTGGTTAATGCTGTTTATTTTAAGAATCTTATAAATGGTTACATTAGACTAGAAGAATTTAACTAAACTCATATAAAGTACATGGATATCACTCACAACGTTTCTTGTCAATTTAAAGGATTCGTGATTACAGATAAAGTTGCTGCCCGAGTCTTCTACCCACAACCAAAACAGCACAGGAGAAATGCCAAACAGTTCTTCTTTCCAGCTAGAAATGTGATAACATACATCATTTCACAAACAAAGTATATGTGATCTCTGAAAAGAATATTCTAGCTTTTTAACTTATAGATAGCATCAATGTGAGATTTTAGGTTCTTACAGTGGTAAGGACTATACTGCTGTTCTTTTGGGTTTTGGCATTGTGCAGATTCATCGGTAGACACCAATGTTCCAAAGAAACATGCTGCCTCCATGTTCAGGGCTGAAGTGGCAAAGCTGGGAAGTGGAGGGAATTATATTGAGTTGAAGGAACAAAATATTTTTCTCAAAATGGAAATAAGTCACTCTCACAAATGTAACACAACAGTGGCTGGTATGTAATAATTTGTAAAGAATGAATTATTCTTGCTTACTGCTGAGAATTTGTTACAGTGTTTTGCTTTGAGAACCTTAATGTAGTTGAAAAATACTCAAACAGAACAGAGTAAACACAATGTGCTTTTGTTATATAGCATACTACATGTTACCGAACACTATGGCTCAACACTGCTAACATCAAAGCCCACCTTTGGACATAATCTTCAGCCAGTTTAATTGGCCTTCCAATCTCACACCCTATCTCCTTAAGATCCATCTTAATGTTACTCTCCCACATCTTACTAGGTTCAAAGTGGACTTTTCCACGAAACACCAAAATTTGGTATGCATTCTTTGTCTCCTCCATTCTAGCCACATCTTCTTCTTTTATGGTGCAAAGGCCCGAAGTCAAGCCTTGGCCTCCTCCCATGTCAAAGTTTTCTTTGTCTTTGAACTGTGCATTTATGAGTAGTAAGTGACAAGCCCACTGACTCTGCACAATTTCTACTCAATCCTGATTTTTCTACTAGAGCCATCTAGCAGTGAATCAGGAGAGAATTGGGTGAGAAATGGCCGCTGAATTTTGCTTACGAAACATCTTGTTCATGCTCATAAGGTTCTTTTGCACACCGTAAATCTACGACATGGGACTGTCGGCTTTACTTCTTCCCCTCCAAAGGAAGTTGTGCTATGGATTTTTACCACCCTTAAAAATCCACTGACCTTGGCCAGGTTTGAACCCATGAACCTTGGGTCCAGTGGCAAGCACGCTAACCACTAGTCCACTGAGGGTGACATTCTAACCACATGTTTAGCCTATTTCAGACGCCTAGATTTCAGTATCCTAAAAATGCTAAATGCCCTGCATAAATCACAAATTTCTTGTTATATTATAAATTGTTCACAAACCAAATGTTTGCACATTATAACACAGAACTTGTCTAATTTAGGAAATTAATCCTCACCACTCCAACCATAACCCAAGTACCAATAGTGTTAGCAGTCTTTACAGTAATTTTAAATGTTCCTGCAACCTGATGAAATATACAAGAATCATCACAGAAGTAATATCACATCAGGAAGACATTTTGGGCACACCAGATGCTGAAGGTTAATTCTAACAGAATTTATCCTCAATTATGATTTTCAATCGCTGAATGTTTTGTAAATTTCATCTGTATGAAGCATCACATTTACCTAAAAGCTGGTGTTATGAACACAGTTACCAGGATAACTGTCCTGGAGATTGGCTGGAGATGAACTTGAAGCTGAACTTTTGGTGATTCTGAAGTCACATTACAATTATTCCAAACACCTTTCTCTACCATTTTGGCTACCTGCAAACACCGATCTGCCAATGCTGCATTTCTCTTGCTCAAGCTGACTTCAAACATGGCTCTTGCCAAACTTCCTGTTTTCTGATGGGAGAGAGATAAAGAAAAGATTATGAGCAATTCATATAGCATGTCTTTAGAGATGGACGGTTATCCTATTTAACAATTCTGTAATTTGCAATGCCAGAAGAAGTAAATATCAACTTTTCCAGTTTTAATTACAGTTTTCCAATAAAGACACACCAATTTTAATTTACTTGCATATGTGTGTTATGTTACTGAAACACGTAATAACAGACATGCATGGACGTGAATTACGGAGAGAGAGCTTACGATATTCGTGGACATATGTCAAGTCAAGCAATCTTAAATTGATACTGTTGTCATTGTAATAAGAGTATATAACCTATAACCGAGTTACCTGGACTGTACAAAATCTAAAGTGTGGGAATGTAAGCTGTTTGGGTTCGATCATGCAACTCCCACCCTGAGAACACTATGTTTAGTAACACTGTGAGCAGACCTAGCATATGGGATGTCAGATACAGTACTAATGTTCATGCCTAAATATCCACAAGGAAAATCACAATTCATAAGCAGTCCTCTAAACTTCACTCTTTCAAATATAACAGTGGCTCTAAACATTTCAAGAACTAGAGTTGAACTCAACTCATGGGCTGCCATGCAGAATTTATTTAAATTTAATTGAAATTTATTTAAATACTATGAAAATAGGTTCAAATATTACTCCACTATATTCTTCAACAACTTTGCAAAGTTCAATTTTCTGTAACTGTTAATGTAATTACCAACGTTTTGGAGAAGCATACTGTTTTCATCTCCAGGGCATCAGCCCCGAAGCTGAAGATGGAGACAGTACACTTCTATGAAACATTAGCACCTACCAGCCAGTTCACGTGACACCAGAACCCAGACGAACATCTTCAACATCACCACAGTGAAAACCTCAAATTGCATATTCATTTCAAATTTACTATATTTTTTCATCAAATACCGGGTGATATTACAAAATTATGTGTGCCATAAAAATACAAAGACAGGCCACAGACTGTAAACACCTGGACTATATAATTTCATTTATCCAATTTAGTGTAAGAGGCAGTGACTTTTTCTGAAGATATAACTAATACAAGACCGATACTGGCAGCTTTATTTCTCACTGCTTGCAATGGACTATTCCCTCAGTAGTTTTTAATTTATCCAACTATTCTAAGCATTGTAGGAATATACAAGTAGACATTCTTCACAAATAAATTATCAGTCAGCAGCTCTTATTAAATTCATAATGCCTCAACATAAATACAATTTTTGTTTTTGTTTTCACAGTTTGTCTTGAGCTCATTAATTATGCCATTAGAAATTGACAACGTACCTTTACAATAAAGTCTTGGTCACGTCGCAGCCCAGAAGACTGAACTTTGCCACCCAACAGATATGTCTGCAGAAGGATGATGACCATATTGCTAACTTCGTTATTTTCATTAAGAGGCACAAGATTACAGTACTTGTCTTTCATATGCCTAAGTTCATCAGCCTCCACTTCCTTCACCTACAGTATTACAAATTGAAACAAAGATTATTCAGTTGCCAAACCCCTTACATAGTAATAAAGTAGGCTTTATGACTTCTACTCCAGAGCTCCTCCTTTTTATCTTTCACCTTTACTGACTGTGTGTCACGGCTTACACGTGGTCCACCTGGCCACGCGTCAAAGGAGAATGCCGCTAAAAAAATACTCCAGTGATAAACCCTGGCAAGATGCCCCACAGTACAAGAGTTTAAATGCCTTATTCCTGTATGACAAAGGCCAAAGCTTCATTACAATTTTTGGTATATTTTTTGTGCAGTGAAATTTTTAAACAGAAAATGTACATTAAATAATTGTGTATCTAGCGACACGGTTCCTTTCCTCTGTAACATGCAGGATACTTTGCAGTGCAACAGAACTGTTTGATCCACAATAATGAAAGGCTTTTGCAACCTTATTTTTACAACACAAATTCATGTTTACTGCCTGTGACAACAGAATTAACGTTATACTGCACAACATGAACACCAACCTGGATATTTGAAAACACTGGAGCCTTTGACAGAATACCAATAATACTGTTCACAGTTAGCACTCTTTTCGTATAATTTCCAATAAATTCCATGGACAGATGATCAATGTTGAGGTGATCAGCTATGTGACCCAGTTCTGAACAGAAATATAAGACAACAGTAAAAAGTATATAAAAAGAAGAATGCCATGTTACTGCACATAATGGAAAGCATTATGAATCAAGTGTATCAGTGCATAAATCTTGATGCACATCTGACAGGTGTTATTTTTAAGAAGTAACTTTGTTATAAAGTTCCGCAATTATGGCAAACACTAGTCTTTTATTTCACACAACTTTATATATACTGTCGCTGCCTAATAAATCTTTAAAAATGATAAATAAACACTGCCTCACTCTATATATAAAATGTGGTATTTCAAGCATATGTAATAATTAGTTCTTTAATTGCTGGCCGAGATAAATGTTTTGATAAATTGATGACTGAATTACTGAAAATGGATTTTAGGTTAAAATAACTAAATCCTTTTATAGGACAAAAAGATCCTAAAGAAGCGCAGAGAGGAAGATAAAACTAAAACTGACCATACATAAATATGACGTAAAGGCACGGACAAGATTCAAATGAGTTAGGACAGGGTCCAGTTTACACTCATATGATACAACTAGGTTATTACTTTTAATCATTTGTTTCCTGATCTCAAATATTTTAATTGTCTCCCAAATACACAGATCCTCACCTGTACGTTTGAAACTCCCCAAGCACAAGAAATGGATCATGCCTGCCCTTTCTACTACCTTCAGTGCTTTTGAGACCAGTACTTGTACTTCTTCAGCCAGACTTAAATCTGTACCTAGTTCTGTAGCTCTGCTTCTCATTGTATGATACAGGTAGGTACATCTGAACCATTCTTCACATTCTGTCACAGTTGAAAGATTACTAAAAGTTATCTGCAAGGAAACAATAAAAATAAAACATTGCAGATGTCATGTTTTCACAGAATAATGTTCAGTGCCATTTTGTTTCGTTACAAAATCCTTGTATAACTGTTATATACTCTTTCTTGAAAACATCAGTCTTCCTTTCATACAGCATACTTTCTTTTTTCATCCTATGTCTTATTCCATATCTTCATTCCTGAACATGACTGTACTCCAATACTGTCTTCACAAAGGCTTCATACAATCAAACTAGCAAGTACCTCTTATCAGTTAATGATCAGCATGCATTGCAACAGTTCTATATTTGGAGATTTCTGTCTTCTGGGTTGTTGTGCTGTGTAGTCTGGTTGATGTTTACCAACGTTTCAGAGGTCATACTGCCTCCGTCATCAGGGAGATAGATATTCATCGCCCTGATGACAGTGGCAGTATGACTTCTGAAACGTTGGTTAACTTCGACCAGACTACACAGCGCAGGAACCCAGAAGACATAAATCTTCATACTCACTGCTGTGAGAACCTCAAATCTTACATAGTTCTATATTTCCATATCACACACTTCAAGGCAAACATAACTTTAATAGGTTGCACAAACCTACATAACATAAAATATTCAAAGGCAGTAAATACTCACTCTCTACACTGAATCGTCACAGATAGACAAAAACGGGTGGTCCTACAGCTTGAAATGTGAGCTAACAATCTCTCATTGTAAAAACAACAGAATTAAATATTACAAAGAAAAGAGACCACAAGGGAGATAAAGGTATAGACAGAAAAACATTAAGTATATTATTTATTAATGGTTTATTTAATGATTCCATCAATAGCTCAGATTAAACAGCATTAAACATTATTAATGGACGAGTTGGAAAGAACATGAAAGAAAGTCACAGCCTAATTTCAGGTATTATCCTGTCATTTGCCGAGGGAAAACTATGAGAAACCTTTGTCAGGATACCTGGTCTCTGGGCCAAGATTTGAAATTGGGACCTCCTGAATATAAAGCAGGACTCACCACTCAACCATGACATTCAGTTAAAATGGGTACTAACAAGCAGGATGTGAAGGGTAAAGGTGTGAACTGAATTTATCTACCATAGGATGGGATCCAGTGGCTAAATCTTGATAACATTCAAATGAACCTTGGAGCTCCCTAAAAGGCCAGGCATTTCATAACTAGTTGAGAAACTATCAGATTCTGTTTCATGGAGTGAATTCATTACTTAGTTTTAACTTTAGGGGTACCTCATAGGTCTTAGGGAGAAAAATAACTTTAAACAAAGAATTAGAACACATGATCCAGTCTGTAACTCCAGATGTCCTCAATGAAGCGTAGAAAGAATTAGAATGAAGACGAGATGTGTGCAGAGTGATGACGGGGCCTCAGATTAAACTTCACTGACAAAACATGCAAATTTTCAGTTTCTCTTTCATTTCAAATTTAAACAAACAGCAAAGTCTGAAAATGGCACCACTAAATCCATGCACTATACTCTGTAGGGGACAAATTAGATCAACTGTTTCAGCACTAGTTTCACATAAAAAAATATTCTGAATCACACCTCAAGTGAGAGAACTCAGAAAACTAAAATGAGAAGCTACAGCTTGAATATGTAACAAAATGAGCTCACCTCTGTATTTAAGCACTCAGGTAAACATTCCAGGAGCTGACTCTCTACAAAATGTTTGTTCTGAAGGAGTGCAAGATACTCTTCAAACCTGCTGTTACATAAAATAATGGCTTTCCTTTGGTAGGTTTTGGTATATTTTTTACCAGAAAATGAAGTAGCCACATTCAGCATGTCAACAAGTACCGACATCCCAATACCAGTAAAGGATCCACTTTCTCCTGTTTCCTAGATACATAAATCATATTTGATATTATGAGCACAATGTCTTGTATATGAGTACAGGAGTCATGCATCCTTACCGAGTCTATAAACATTAAAATTCTAAATATTCATTATTACGCACTGAGAGAGTATGAATGATTCCCTTTACCTTAAATATTTTAGCGTAAATTTAAAAATATAATGCCTGGTAAAGTTTTTTCATTTCGCATAGCACCTAAGAATGTACAAAATATTGTGGCTAGAAAAGTTCAATGAAAAATACTATTTGGGTGACATGCGCATAAATATTACAATAGCATGGTAATGAACCTCCAGGTTCCATGAGAGGCAGGTAATTTCCAGATCAAGTAAGAGTTTCCAAAGAATAATTTAGTTATGGCAGACTTCTGACATGGTCACTCACTTTCATTAAAACCGATAACAATTATGTGGGAGTATATATAACCACAATCACAGAAAACAATATTGGAAGCTTAAGGTATCTGTGGATTATCATCATCATCGATTAGCCAGCAGCCATCTCCACACAAGTGTAATAATTGCATGCACTATTGGGGAGCTACAATGAGTAGCGTAATCCGGTCAGGAAAGCTAGCAATGGCTGGGGGTTCATCGTGCTGACCACATGTCACTCTATATCTGGTTGGATGATCGTTCACCTCTGCTTAGGCATGTGAACGTGAGGCCAGCAGTCAAGCTAGTCGGCTTTGGCTCTCTGGAGCTGTTATGCCACAGATTTTTTTTTTTTAATGTGCTTAGTTACATGTATTGGATTATATTTTACTATAAAACATGTTTCAGACTCACATGGCCCAACCTCAAACCATTATCAACACCTGAACATCAAGAGATAATATTAAAATGAAGGATATGATATATCATGAAGATGGAAATCAGTGCCATTAAAAGTAACAACAGATAAAATAGTTTCAGAAAGCAAATTTATGACTTCTAACTACAAATACCTGAAGCAATCAAGTGTTACATTCAACCAAATTTATTACTCATGTAACTATTTATGTACAAAAGGATAAATAGATGAGATCAAACATTATACAATGAGTGAAGATCATCAATGCAACTTGCAACCAGTGTTCTAATGGAGAACACGGAGAAATTAGTTTCTTATAGTAAACTTCTCACATTTTCTGACTAAAATTCTGTAGACATTTCTAATTTCCACACTCGAGTAACAAGGAATAGAACTGGTTATCAAGCAGCCCTGAGGATGGCAGAAGAGACTGTTCTCTGAATAATGGCTACTGTGAACAGCAGATTCTCCAGGCTAAACCAGCAGAAATCTGGATCATCATACACAAATGCAGAACAATAGTATTCTGGCCAGGAAGTTGAAACACGTGGACAATAGCATAAGGAAAATAATACAAACTGAGCTCC